CTTCATCATTCGATCCGCTGTAGTCCCGGAAATGCTGCATCCACTCATCCTCAAGAGAATCTTTCCTCTATTCCACCAATTATTCCTCTCACAGGGTATGGCAATGAGAAAAAAAAACTCAGAGAAGGAGGAAATGGAGGAATCTCCGGTGGAAAATCAGAGACCACACTATCTTAACAGAGAAGCCAAAAAAATGTTTTAAATGTAATATGAGTAGGTCATAAAACAGGGAGGAAAGGGAGTAGCTACCCAGATAGACTCTAAACCTGAAGATTTTTTCCCAACTATTTCACCAACTAGGCCTAAAGGTTTGAAGACTCAAGGCTCTCATGCTTACCCCGTTGACGGCTGGGAAATCGGCATCCTGATGGGGCATTTCCAACTGGACCCCGAAGCAAATGTTGAAGAAGGTGTCCCAAAATGAGAGAAAGGACTGGGATCAACTCAAGCCCCTTCTGATGTTTGCTATCAGGAAAGTTCTCCGTGCCACAATGGGGTTCTCTCCATTCAAGTTACTTTATGGGAAACATCCCCATGGAATTCATGGAATTGCTCGAGAAGCCTTGGAAAGTAGAGAATTTGTTTAATATTCTCTACTATGTGAACAAATTTCAAGAGAGACTCACTCAGCCAAAACTGCCTGTGGAGGAGCACTTTAAGAAAGCACAGGAAAGACAGCAGCAAAATAACCACACTGTGCAGCCTTTAAACCTTTAAACCAGTGGACTAGGTGATGCTATTGTTACCAAGCCCTAAGTGCAAGCTTAGGGCTTAGACACTGCATCCCTCTTATGCCTCAGCCTACCTTGACAACCTGGTGATATTCAATGAAGACTAGGACTCTCACTTGGAACACAGGCTGTACTCACCTCCACGCATTCAGAGCTCCCGACACAGATTTAAATGAGTATACGGACGCGGTCACCAGCTATATTAAATACTGCACCGACGTTTGTGTACCAGAAATGAAAATTAGGTCTTTTCCCAATCAGAAACCGTGGTTCAACCACGACATTCGCAATAAAATAAAAGATAGATCCACCGCGTTCAAATCGGGGGACAAAGAGCTGTACAAGAAATCA